TATATATACAAATCCTAAGAATATAAAAGTACTGATTTATTTTCCTGTAGTGGATGAAGAGGTTTCTTAAACAATCTCGCCAAGTGTACATCAATATTTACGCATTTTGATAAATTAGAGCCTTTCCAATAACACTGAGTAGATGTTACAGATGGTTCCTCACTTCTTCTATGAAGCCACATGTTTACAACCACCTGAAAAAAATAAAAGGGTTAGATATGCAGTTACAAAATAACTATATAACCAGCTACAAAATGCCTTATTTTATGTAACAAGACGAGCAGAGCTTTACTAGCTCTGAACGAATCCAGTAAAGAACCTCGGATTTTCAAAACTTAAAATAAACAATCTCACCACATTTTCACATTTTTGAAATATTATAGAGCTTTTCGAAAAAAACTGCTATTTTTAAAAGTACAATTTTTTGTTTAAACAGCTATGTCCCATTTTATGCTATAGAGTATTATAAAATAAAAAATTACGGGATGCTTTGTTAGCTTCAAACGAATCCAGCAGAGCACTCCAGTTTTTTTTTTAAACCACACCACGTTTTTTGGCTCTTACAATATTATAAAATATTCGAAATTTGGCATTTTTAAAAAATTCTCAATTCCTTGCTGACTTCAAAGTTTTTTTTCTGAAAACAAATATACTTACCAAATTTTTAGGATTTTAAAACAGCCTAAACATGTGTCATAAGTAGTTGGTTTTATATATATAAAAAAAAAACAAATTTAAAAACTGAAGTGTCCTGCTGACTTTGTTCCAACAAAGCACCCTGTATTATTTAAAAATAGCAATTTTTTTAGTAAAGTTTTATAATATTTCAAGAGTCTAAAAATATTCTAAAAATGGGGTGTGGTTTTTAGAAAAAAGCTTTAAAAAATCGAATTGCTCTTGGCTTCTTTCGAAGGTTAGCAACCACGATGTATTTTTTAAAATTATAATTATTTTTTTTTTTAAAAAAGTGATAATATTTCAAGTGCATAAATATATGGTGTTGCTGTTTTTACAGAAAAAAACTTTATAAAACAGAGGTGTTGCTGACTTCGTTCGAAGCTATCAGAGCATTTTAAGTTTTGCACAAAAGGAGGAGCATAAAATTTTTGAAAAGGGTATAAAAATAGCCTAAAAATATGGCATATGTTTTAACTCAAAATTTCATAGGTGCTCTGCAGCATTCTTTGGTATCATAATTATTACTAGGTTTACTAACAAAATCTATTTCTAGATTATTTTAACACTTGCTGCGATTACAAAAAATGTCTCTTTATATGTCAAAATTAGAAAAAAAATATTTATAGGAATAAAGGGCCTTATACACTGTTTATTATATGTGATATAAAAACAAAAAAGCATAATAAATATTACAAACCTTGAGATGCAGCATATCCTAAGCATTGTGCACTAAAAATTTCATTTTTGTTAATTACAACAACCACCTCATAAGGTTTTTGCCGTACTTTACGTTTGGGTGTAATTTGTCTCCTTCTCTCTTATGGAAAAAATATAAACTGTAACTACCTATTAAAACAAATTATAAATAAAGTCTTACCTTTCTGTCTTGTGAAAACTGAGTATTGTTAAAAAAATGCAGTAATCATCTCGGTAATCATATTTTCGTTTAGAATGGGTAAAACACTTGATTTAACTTTTATAAACTCAGCTGATTAATTAATAATAAAATTAAACCAAAACAAAAAACTAAGGTTAGGTGTTAGGTGGTGTCAATTTTAATGTCACTTAGATGTGCGTTCACTTCGACATTCTGTGTGTCGGTTTGTTCGTTGGCTTTGTTTTGTATAACAAAAAAATCTTCGACACAAGATGATTGGTCTATTCCCGATGACGTATAATTTCAAATTTTAAATTTCAATTGGGCTTAATTTAAAAACTTTTGGCTTTTTAACGAACGGACTATTTAGAATAACTTGTATAGCGACTAACTATTACAATATAATTTATAAAACAGCATATCTCACATGTGAACATGGCCCATTATTATACCAAATATTTTGACTAGTGGACCACGTTTTTAAGTTCACAAATAATATCAAGATTCTGATTCGGATTAGAAGTTTTACTACACATAGTTTTGTGCCAAAGCCAAGCCATGTATTTATATTGCAAAACGCAGATCAGTAACTATCACCTGCAATAGAAATTGAAAATTCACATATGAATCTTTGTAACGTAAATTTTATTTATAACTTTAATAACTTCATACGGACAAAAATTTTAGCTAACTTATTTAATTCTAATTATAAATTGAACTTTATTTTAAAAGTTTATTATATTGTTTAGTTGCTGCAACTTTACTGCGCTTAAGATTAAAATATGAATTGATTTATGAAGCTTAACTGAAAAAGAGGAAATAATGCTTTTATTCCAAAAAAGTATTATGGTCAATAAAAGGAATTTCGAACTGTGATATCTTCAAGCCCTTATTTAAAACCTTTAAATATTATTATTATACAAGAGTTATCTTTACAAATTGTTACATATACCGAACATAAGTTTGTTGACATAAATATTATTTTCATAATACAACTAAATTATATCTCTATTAAAAAATGGTAATATTTTATTTAATATATTCATTTAAACATGTTTTTGTTTTTTGTGTAGATGATATTAAATAATAACTTTTTATATATATCCGACATTCTGAGATAGAAACACTTTTATTGTTACACAATTGTTAAAAACGGGAAAATCCTGGGAAACACAAATACGGTGGCTCTTCAAAACGTTCCCAGACGGAAATTAATTAAAATATACATTTTTAAAATTAATTTAAAAAAATACGTGTGGCACTCGGGGACTGCCACGGTAAAGCTATTGCATAGCATTTTTTATCAACATATGCAATTATAATTATTTATTTATTTATTTTATTTATGCAGTATTTTATTCCTTTGATATTAATTCAAGTTTTTTCTTTGATATTAATTCAAGTTACACTTTTTGAGCGTGGTGACCGATAAGAAAACAAATTTTTTTCGTTTATTGAATAAATGAGAAGTTAATATTGTTTAAAATATGTTTATTATCTTACAATACATGTAGGTTATTCAGGAATATTTATCATTGAAACTATATCTTTATGGTAACTGAAATAAGAAATATAAGTTTGAGACTTGATATCCTCTAAATATCTGGAAAATACCGCGTCAATGGTGGCCCCATATTTTGTTGTGGATTCTTGTGGATTATTATTAATGTTCAAATTCAATTTTTCCGAAATTGTGCCTAAAAGAGATAGAATCAGTTATAAGCAGTTAGCAGCTAGTCTACACGCATACGTCTAGTCGCACGCACACAAACACCGTGCCGAAGTCTGTCAAACTGAAACGACGTTAGACGATGCACGGCTTTCAGCGCCGCACCGCTGTGCCGGTCGGAGTGAAGGGTTAGGTTTATTTGAGTTACGGAATTTCTTTTTCGATTTTGCGATTTTTCAATTTTACGATTTTTTGATTTTTCAATTTTCGATTTTTCAATTTTTCGATTTTTCGATTATTCGATTTTTCGATTATTCGACTTTTCGATTTTTCGATTTTTCTATTTTTCTATTTTTCTATTTTTCGTTTTTTCGATTTTTCGATTTTTCGATTTTTCGATTTTTCGATTTTTCGATTTTTCGATTTTTTGATTTTTCGATTTTTCGATTTTTCGATTTTTCGATTTTTCGATTTTTCGATTTTTCGATTTTTCGATTTTTTGATTTTTCGATTTTTCGAGGGGTTAGGTTTATTTTCGTTACGGAATTTCTTGATTCGGTCGCCGCGCTCAAAGCCAGCGATAAAATCTGTGCAAGCTTAATAATGAAATAGTTAACACTGATAAAATAAAAATTAATATTTTTTCTACACCCGTATTATAATAATGCACTTATATGCCCATAATCCGTTTCATAATGAACCCATTATGATACAGATTTTTCATTACGATACAGATTTTTAATCAATAGAAACCTACAATTTTTCAATCAAGCATGCTGTTTGACGTTTGTCCTAGGTTCTATGTAATTGTTTTAGTTGTCAAAACGTATTAAATATTCGTAGATAGCTAAACTTCGATAATTATAATATTAAAATGTCTGATATCAGCGATATAGAAGACTCCTCCACACATATTGGAGAAAGCAGAAAATACATTAAAAAATATTTTGCCGCAAAAATCTAGGGAAATAGCAATACCCGAAGTAATACCATTAATTACAATTTTGTAGATTTTTTATAGAAATACGAGTAATTACTGTTATTGTGTTCTTCAATACCAATATAAATATAATATTTATAGGTCTTGATTATTTATCGTGTGTAGAAAAAATAGCGTATGCAACTCTCATGTTATGGTTATCAATACACGAGCATTAACAGGGATACGAAACGAGCCAAAGGCGAGTACATGATCGTTGCATAATATACTATTATAAATCTTGCAATAAAAATTAATATCTAATATTTACGCCAGCTGGGAACATTTGTGATACAAATTTATTAGAAGCCAGAGAAAGCTCTTCTAGTTCTTGTATTGCATAAACGTTCCAGTCCGCAGAGGTATATTTAACTCCGCTTCATACTAATACGAATAGGGTCGGATAAAACCTTCCACGACTTTCAAAACCCCGGACCCCTGTGCCGGTCGGAGTGGGGGGTGTTAGGTTTATTTTTGTTACGGAATTACGAAATTTCTTGATTCGGTCGCCACGCTCAAAGCCCGCGATAAAAGCTATGCAATAGCTTAATAAAATTTAGTGACTTCGTTACATAACTTATCTTTTTCTTCTTTTTCACCATTATCTTTTCTTTCGCAGTTTTGGGAGCAGTAAATTTTACAAACGATTTGTGATCTCTCCTGTTGTTGTAAAGAGAGAATTGATAAATTTTTTATGAACTTTACTGATCACTAATATTTTCGTATAATTGTCTCTTGCGATTAAAGCTCAACCGTTCACGTACTTTCTCTTTATTTACGCGCACTTTTTGTTCCAGATCAACAAAGATGTTCTCCCGGACAATTCTTCTGCGGCGTTGATGACAACTGCTTACCATCAAACGCAGTATGTAACGGAATTAGAGAATGTAGAAACGGTGCAGATGAAGCCAACTGCCCTCAAGGTACGTACAGCCAACTGATATTATACCTAGAGATTTTTATAATTTTTTTATCGATAAATACTTGAAGTTTATCGATTTATTATGTACAAAATTGTAAATATTGTAAATTAGAATATTTTAAGTTAACTTTTGTAATATAAGCATTTATTTTTTTATGTTTTAACAGCTTACTACTGCCTGGCTTTTTGGATGCATCTTGGAGTTTGATATTTTTGCACTTTTGAGTTTTTTAGCACCAACAATAATTTCAATGACTGCTTGACGATTTTCTTAAAGCTTCATAATGCAACTAGTATTGTTACAAATACAGTTGAGGGCTTTTGTAAAGTTGTACAAATAAATGCTATTGTAGGTTTTTAGAATTAGATCACTGATGTCATAGAATTTTTTTAAAAAGAAAGATTTTTTTGTACCATGGGTGGCGTATTGGAAGTAATTTAATTTCTACTGATACGACATCTAGATTTAAATCCTAGTGAGCTATAGTTGGTTTAAATAAAACACCAAAGTATAGTTTATTCAATTCCATGACATCATTGAATTGACTGAAATTATAGATACCGAAAACAAAATTTAGTATTAAAAAGTAATTACTAAATCAATTAGAAAAATAATTTATTAGTGCTAATATACTATGGGATCCAACTTAGTGGATCATCTTCAAAACGTTTGAATAGGCATTGGATTTTTTTTATTTGATACAGAATAATTTAAAGGTTATATAAAATAATTAATACCAAGCAATAAACAACAAGTTATTTCTATGTATCAAATTGATTTTTAACACTAGACATATTTTAATTTACGAAGGGCCCTTTATTATCACTCATCAATGATAATGATAACCTCAAGAGACACTAAATTGGTGGTTCTTACCTAATCGAGACTGAGACATCCAACGAAAAAACTCGTGGTATAAAAGACACGATAAACGCTTTGATTTTGAACGAAAGGCCGAAAGACAATGAGAAGTGTTGAGACGTCTAATTTACAGGTTTGTGAAGTATTCGTGTTACTTAGGCCAAACAATGTAGACGATTTACATATTTTAACTTTGATTTTTAAGAACCATTCCATATCGTCTTTTGATTAAGATTTGCAAATTGTTTAAACAATTTAAATAAAAAATATTTAGGCCCTTTACCCCTTAACCTGGTCATTGTAAAAATATTTGAGCCAGTTACTCCTTCAGTCTGCCCATGTAAAAATGTTTAATTCGTTTACCCCTTAAGCCTGTAAAACTATTTAGGCTCTTTGCGTCTTAAACCTGCCCTTGTAAAATTAGTTGGCCATTTATTCCTTACGGCTGCCCATGTAATAATATTTTGTCCTTTTACTCAGCACATATTAAAATATCTGTTACTTTTGCCAATTATATGTAAAAATATGTTTAACATTTACCCCTTAAGCCTGCCCATGTAAAAATATTTGCACTCTTTACCCCTTAAGTCTGTCAATTCAAAAATATTTGAACCCTTTAACCCTCAAGTCTGTTCGAGTAAAAATTGTTGACCATTTTGTTTCGTACGTTTGCCCATTTAAAATTATTTGGTCCTTTAAAAAACTTTAATTTATTTGACGTTTAAGAATGACGGCTTAACTTTTTAGTGAAATCGTGTAATCAATACTCGTATCGCAGTGTTTAGAATAAGCTCCATAAGCTCTATTTAGTATATAAAGTATTAATAATGATGACGTAGGGTGAGTTGCAGATTTGCGGATTGACAGATAACTTGGAATTTAAAATATTGACATATCAAATGACAGCATCCCTCTGGCGACGGGTATAGTTTGAATCTCCGAGCAATTACTAATAGAGGGAGCGTGAAAACGAGTTTGTAGGCGATTGTTGTGTTAGCAACATCTGTAGAGGAAGTGAGGAAGCGGGCGCAAGGGGGAAGGTAAACATCCTTCTTGTTCAGTGGCGTATCATTTATCTATAAAAACACACATTGTCCTAACGTTTTAATTGTAAAAACAAACTAAAAAATTTGCTAATTTTACTATTGTTTAAAAGAATACCGTCTTATATGTGTCTAATGTAGGAAATGAAACAAAATCACTGTAAAGGTCTAATTTTTTCAATTGAAGAATAAAACCTTAAAATCAATTTTATTATAAATAAATACAGGAGCGTCTAGTTTCGGCCTTACAGGAACATCTTCAGGCCTGTAATACAATATTCTTTAATTATTATAATAGGTTGGTCACTTACGAATAATATTAAGTAGTATAAACTACAAAAATGGGATCCATATTGTAGCGTTACAGCATTATAGAATTAAAGCTGTAAAAATAAAAGGGCAGTGCAAACACAACTAAAAATAAGAAAACTGAGTCTACAAGAGAAAAGGTGAGAATGAGCAATTACAAATACATTTAAATTGCTCGGGATAAGAAATAAAGCTGTGATAATGTAAAGTAGTGGTATAGTCTCCGTCAAAGAAGGTCTGGATATGTTAAAGAGGACGGCGTTTTCTCTGTAAATCTGGAGAATGTAAGGATGGAGGGAAGACCAATTTTGCTGGCTCAGGTGTAGATGGCTAGAAAAAGGAGCGTGTAGATGAAAGCTCCAGTAAATATCGTCACTTTCGTCTAATTTTTAATTCTCACTCATCGTTTCGGCTTTATCTTTGAAATTCATTTTTAAAAGGAAATAAAAGTAATCATTCATACAAGCATATAATAAAACAACATAAATTCATTATATTTAATAAGCTAATAAACGTTTGTTTCAATAAAAAAAACATATATGTGAATAAAAAAAATATATAAATAGATAAGATTAATATCAAAATCAATTTGAAAATACAACAGATAATAAAATGAAATAAATTAATACAAGTAGGTACAAATAGAAAGTTAATAACAAACCATCTAAAAGTAACACATTTTAAGTAGATAAATGTTTAAAGTGTTTATTGCTGAACATAACTAATCTAACGTTTTTCCCCTTTTTAATATTATGAGAGTTTTTGTAGTTGAAATGAAAATTATAATTTATTTTGGTCCTAATAAAAATTTAAACAAAGAGTAAAATACATAATAAAACTTCATAATCTTAAATCGTTATCAAAAATTATTATTGGTAAAACTTCAAACAATAATTAGATTCTTAAACAAATTTCTAGTTTTTGTTTTGCAAAAGACTTTTTTGCCTTCTTCGGTTGCCTCTGCCACTTTTCTTTTAGTAGTTTCGAGGAGAATTTTCCTATGAAAACCAGTAGAACCATCAATTGGTCGATAAAATTTTGATATTTTGGGTCTGGTAAGTCTTGTTAAACTTTCTTCTTAGGAAGTTGTAACCTTATGGAGAATAAAAATTTAATGTTAGATCAAAAGGCTCTTAATTGAGAATTATATTTGCAAAGGCCGTTTTAATAATATTTTCAAAAGTTCTTGGAATCGTTGTTAACAGAAACCTGCAAAAAAATATATTATTTTATTCCTAAAATATAAGATATCACACAATGAACATTCATATAACATCATTGCGCTAGAAAAATACTAGGTAGGTACTGAGACAATTTAAAAAAAGTATTTCGAGAAACTCAACTTTTAATGTCATCATTGTACTTAACTATTTTATTGCTAAATTATTAATAATGTCATTTTGTGTAGTTCGTTGTGATTTGTATAATATATATTATAAAAACCTATCGTCAATGTTAATGTGCCAAGTTTTTTTATTAATTATGTCCTTGTTATAGTAAAAACACATTTAAACACATTTTTGAAGTTTTCTGGATTTCTGCTTTAAATTATCGTACAATTGAACTGACTAATTGTGTGTTTAAGTAAAGGTATATATCTTTTTTGTTATAACAGTCTTTGTATATTGTTCTAACTTTTTAGATAATCAGAGAAAACAGTAAGACATCTTAATATATTCTATTTTACCAAACAAAAATGTAGAATAATTAATCTCACATCAAACGAAAAAAGTCATTTTAGGATGTCCTAATAGGTTTTAACTTAAAAACTAAATAAAATGTATATTGCAAATGTGTTTAAATAAATGAATGTTTTTATACCTGACTATAGCACTAGACAAACATTTTTTTAGATCATAATGATCTGCATAACTCAAAATAGTCAAAATCCACATTATTTAAGTTATTCTAGTATTGTTTTAGCATAACGATGTAAACTCCAATAATAAATATTCACATTTTTTGGGACGTTTTTAAGGAAATTAAAAAAAACATGAATAATGTGATGTTCTTGTTTAGTTTTGTACTATATAATATAGTTCATTAGGTAGTGATTTAGAAGCAAATTATGTTCTATTTATAGAATAAAAAATCACTTATATTTATACCTATTTATATTTTGGACAGGAAGACTATTTTATGTTTTTGGCTCTGAATAGTTTTCTTAAGAATTTTAAAACCTTCCTTAGCTCTTTTGGGATATTCTTAGAAGTTCATTTTGTTTAAACCTAAAACAAATTAAGTACAAAAAATTAAAATTTAAACAATACACAAAATTAGTCTTTTAGATTAGTTAAAAAAAAGTGTCAACAAAAAAATGGCTATGCCTTTTTCCTTAAACATTCTTTTTGAAAGAAACTTAAGTTTCTCTACTTACTTGCTGTTTTAGTATTTTAGTAGCAGATGAATATAGTGTAGAAGTAGTGACAGGATTGATTATTATACTTCTTCCGTCGAAATTGCATTTTTCTTTAATATTTTCCTCCCCTGAGGTCTTGTTGAATTCTTAAATTTTGGAACCATGTATTTTTTTCTCATATCAAGAAAAGGAAACCTAAAAAAAATAAAAGACTTTACAAAGATGTGATATTAAAATAATAATAATAAGTAATTAACCTCTCTGTTAAACCTTTACTATAATCATTATGATACAGATGAAGACGAACTTAGCTGGGATTTATTCCCTCTTAATTTTACTTTTTCGAAAATAAGAAAGTTCAATTGCAAATTAAAGGTGATTACCTAATGCACCGCCTCTGGTAATTAAGTTGTATTTGTACTTACCTATGATATAATCTTGAAGAAGCATTTTCAACAGGTCTTTTACACATAAAGCATGTTTTCACCATATTATTACAGATAATAAATCTTCAATATACATTTAAAACCCTTACAAGGCTATAAATAATTATATTTTTCGTAAAATACAAATCAATAATTGACATGTGTCAGAAAGTGTCAGAACGAGGTCACAACCTCACTGTCAAACTTGGCAACGCTGATTAAATAAGCCAATTACAGAAAAGGTATTTCCCCCCTCGGGGGGAGTAGATGTTGCTAACAAAATTTAGCGCGGGGAAGGGGGGAAGACTCCCTCTAGTAGTAATTGCTCGGAGGTTTGAATAAAAGAGGAGTGCAGTAAAAGTGTTGATTTAACGTCAAATTACATAGACGTACTTTGCAAAATAAATTTTTATAATATACAAGTGTAAATTAAAAATTTAAAAAAACCGACTTCAAAAACGTGCAGATGCCATCACCACATCTTAACCAAATTTATATGGGATCACCCCTGAGGTACCCCCTTACTAACAAAAAAAGAATCATATAAATCGGACAAGGTGGTAAAGCATTATCGCTAAACATACATAAAAAATTTAGAGTTTGAGGATTTTCTCATGGACCCAATTTTCCGATTTTAACCAAATTTACATGGGACCACCCCTGAAGTAGCCCCTTTTTAACAAAAGAAGAATCATATAAATCGGACAAGGTGGTAAAGCATTATCGCTAAACATACATCAAAAATGAAGAGTTTGAGGATTTTCTCATGGACCCAATTATTAGATTTTGACTAAATTTATATGGGACCACCCCTGAAGTACCCCCTTTCTAACAAAAAAAGAATCATTGAAATCGGACACCGTTTTAAAGAATAATCGCTGAACATACATAAAAAAAAAAAAAAATATCGCGACGAATTGATAACCTCCTCCTTTTTTGAAGTCGGTTAAAAATGGTATATACGCACTGCGTAGATTAAATTTTAAATTAAAAAGTTATATTATTTACAAAAAATAAAAATAAACTTTATGCTTTTGACAAAATTGTTGCACTTTAACATTGAACGAATTAAATTTAACCAATAAATAACAAGGAGGATTATATCTTGTTAATGGGATTAAACTTTTTTTCTCTGGGCATTAAAAGTAACACTTGTACCTAAAGTCAAAGATTAAAAAAAAAATAGAAAGTTTAAGAACTATTTTTAAAAGTCACTGTCTTCACTATAACTACTGGTATAATTATTATTTTCTTTTCTGAGGTTTATTATTATAGGGTCTATTAAGTTTTCCATTGCTATATCCACTTTTCAAAATGAATTTTCCACTTTTTTAACATGATCAATGTATTTTCTCCAATGCTCTCCATTTACATCTGAAACTGCCTTCAAAAACTAATTTCGCACATGAGGTAATTTAAATATTGTATTGCTTCCAGAAACATAACCTTATAATTATGACCAGATCAAATCAATGGGATTTAACTCTGTGTGGTAAGGAGGCAATCTGAGAATTTCAATTCTTTTTATTTCGGGCCATCTTGTCTATAATATATTATTTTAATTTGTTTTTATGTTGCCTTGCTATTGCGAGTAATTCTAATTTCAAGGATTTAAGAGGACTCAAAATATTTTTAGAATGAAGCCATTTTGAAATATCTTTTATTTTCCATCTTGTTGTAGGTAGTGCCTCCTTTAATTAACTTTTTTTATAATGTTCTAAAACCAATTTTCAAACATGGGGCCATCCATTTTTTCATGGTAGTCTTTCGTTTTCTTTGACTCGAACATTAATAAATCATCTGGCATTTTTGTGGTACTTTCATTGTGGGTTATTATTAAACGAGTTCTACTTCCTTTTGGATTTTTTAATCCATAGAGGCTTATTTTAGGTTTTGATGGAGGTATCTTGTCAAATTTTGATTACTTTATCTCCAGCATTAACCTATGTTTCATCTTAATAAAATACCTGTTTATGCTGATTCCTTGTGTCCGCTATTTTCCTTAAATAATCATTTCTCCACGCAGTGGCGCACCCATAATTTTTGTTTGGGGGTTTTATAATGATGAAGGCTGAACACAAAAAAAGAAAACAAAAAGCAGAATGCACAAGTTTTTTGTTATTTTTTATTAACGAAAACGAAAGGTACATACTACATAAATTTATTTGGTCTGGAAAAATAAAATTTAAAAGAAAATACATTCAAGCTATATTGGCAACAAAAAAGGTCTATTAAGCCAAGCTAAGTTTTAATTTTTCAAGGCTTCTCGACGAAATCATTTAAAATATTCTCCACAGACCGAGTCATATTTCTATGAATATGCAGAAGAGTCAGTCCATTTAAGCGATTTTCCTAAGTACTGTTTCTTAAATAACTTGATTCGTCGCAGAGTTGAAAAACTACGTTCACCTTCAGCAGTATAGACAGGCAGTATATATCTAATATATGGTGTAGAGTACGATTCAACTTAGAAAAAGCCACGGGCGTCATCAACTAGTCATCGTCTGCCTCACTTTAAAATATTCCTTCTACGTTGCTCCAGATCGATATACCAGTGGCGTAGGCTCTTATTTAAATAAGAATTAAAGCAGTTTCCCAACAAAAACATTTATTGGATTAAAAAATTAAATTTTAATGATTTAAACATTTGTATATTACCTAAATAACTAAACTAAAATAACATTACATATATTTTTCGACTTTAGACTTGCAAAACATTCAGTGGGAAGTAAATAAAAATAACAACACAATTTTGTAATTTAAGATTTTTATTACAATTAAAATAATAGTTATTTATGCAACTAGTGCAAAAAGTGAAACTAGAGGAGTACATCCTAGTTCGTCCGTTAATGAACTATTGTACTCTGTTTTTAAACTAAGAGGAGCGATTTGAATTTAAGTTGGCAATTCTGTAGCGTTCTGATTGGTCAGATTACAGTCAGTTTCACACATTACTTTTTAGCATGAACATTAGCTAATAATTGATATTGTTGACAGTTCTGACATTTTATAATTTGATATCTCATCCATTACGTTTTTTTACTTTATTTCGTAAATAATAGTTCTTCAGTAAGCAATTGTATTGAAAATCTACAATTATGGATCCTTCTACACTGAGTATTATTAAAGGTAGCAATTCCTGAAAAGCCTTACAAGAAAGGGAAGACACCTTATTATTTTACATGCTGATTCTGAAGGTTTTGTAGAAAATGCATTATTGGTTTTTGAAGGTAAAAAGATGGGAGATTACCATGAAAAGATGAATTCCGAAGTATTGTAGAAAAAAATAATTTTATTACTGATTTTTTAAAACTAAAAATTGATGAATTTCTAACAAAATAATTAAAATTTAACTAAATATTCAAGCAAATTTTATTTATTAGAATAGTATAAAACTATTTACAAAATTGTTATAACATTTAAAACACCATCTACTACTTTAGGGACAATCTTAATTTGGCACAATGAGTTAACATTACTTTCACAAAAAATGTTTTAAAAATACTTAAAATTAATACATAGGTATGTATGAATAGTTAGTTCACTTTAAAAAATATATGTTGACATGTAGTGTTATGAAAATGTTTGTTCCAGTTTTCAAAACAAATTCTGACTCGAAAGTGAAAATGTCTTCGTCACCCTCAGTAATAATATCAGAAATTACTTACTCATAGAATACAAAAAAGATGCATGTATCTGAAAATTGACTAAAAAATTAATCAGGAAATAGTTAGAATTTCTTAAAAAATTATTAATTTTGATATATCATATATATTTATCTTCAAATCGGTGACTTAAGTTATTCAACCATTATCATAATTTATTAACTAATTTCTCCCGGCGATGTAAACTCGGTTAGCGAAACATATGTCGAGTGATAAAAAAATCGTATATTACAACTGTATCAAATAAAAAAAACCTAACCTTTATTCAAAAACCCAATGAAACAATTTACACATTATATACCAACATAACAGAGATATAACACCATTACATGTTTGCATGTTACGAATATTAATCAGGCGGGTGTCAGCAAGACCAGTGGAAATGCGCAAATGGCAAGTGCATACCGAATTCCTTTGTATGCGATCGAAAATACCATTGCGAGGATCTTAGCGACGAACGAAACTGTCGTAAGTGTTATTGTTATCATCAATGTCTTCTTCTGTCTTCACGTTATCGTTATCAAGCTCACATGTACGGTGCTTCTTCTTAATGTCTATTCTAATCTTATCAACCTGAAATTTAAGAATCCTACAAAGTTGACAACGTTTTTAATGCGACATGTTTATTTCCACCTCCTATTATTTGTCTAATATTCTCCGATAATTCCTTGAGGGTCTTTAAAATATAGGAATTTTGTAAAAAGTAACGATTTTGATCGTTATAACACCAAAAACTAAATTTTTAGCATCTATTTGATACCCATTTTTTAGTAATTTAATATTATTCTAAAACCGTCTTAATACATCTGTGTTTTTTATTTGGGAGTATACATATGTTGTGGAAATATCCTAGTCACTAAAAAAATGTAGATTTGTACTTTCTAAAAGCAAGTTGATTCTCATATTTTTATTTCTTAGTCACAATCTAACCAAAAATATTATTTTTTGTTCAAAAGCCTCTATCAAGAGCATTTGCCACACCGTGTCAAAAGATCAATAAGGTCAATAAATATTACTAGATTTAGACGTGATTTAGCAATAAAACTATTAAGTTTGGTTGTTACATATAATGGCATCATCGGTGGATCTATTTTTATGAAAACCAAATTAATTTTATTAAATTATGTTATCATCTTGTCTTTTATTACGATTACAAAGATCTTTGAAATGCTAGATGTTAAAAAAATAGGACTGTAACTATTCATGTTCTCTACATTGTCATTTTTGTATAGTGTTTTACTTAACAGGTCTGAAGACATTCTGGGAAGATTCATGTTTCAAATGACCGGTTAAAAAAATAAACCAAGTTTTCTGCAAATTTGTTTATACTAATTACTTCAATTATATGAGGATGGAATGAATAACTTTTGACCCAAGAAAAAAAAATTTTTTCGGCACATTCTCCTTGTCGATCAATACAGTTCGCATAACGAAATTCAATTCCCTTCAGCTCATATAGACCAATGTCCAGCTCTTCAAATTAGGAGCTTCCCAATCAGACGCAGGCATAGATTTGTTTAAATTTAAGAAAGAAATTAAATGCCGAAGGGGTCAAGTCAGGCAAGTAGAATGCATGAGGAAGTAATTCAATGCCCAGTTCACTAATTTCATCTTAGTGCTGGACTTGTTTTTTCGATAATTCAAGCCTTTTCTTCAAAATTTTTTATTGCAACTGATTAAGCAAGTTAGCATCTTATTTTCCATTTATTCTTTCAACCTTTTCAAGGAAATCAATAAAATATATGCCTTTCGCATCTCAAAATACCGCCGCCATAATCTTTCCGGCCGATAGAACCGTTTTCATTTTCTTTTCTCTGCTTAGAATATGCTACATACTTATCACTACTATTATAGCTTATCTGTTTTAAAAACTTATTGTTTTATGACATTTGGATGTCACTGTCACTTGCATTTTCCTTCTCTAGACTTTCTGCTAACGTAAAAGGATCTCTCCTGTAGTTTTGCTGCAGGAAAGCTCCTAATGTCTCCTCTTGCTGCTTCAGCAGTTTATTCAATAGTTCCCGTGCTTCTCATAAAGTACAGATGGTTTTGTTAGTCCATATTTTCTCTCAGAAAGTCCTGCTGGTTGGGCGCCAATTGTGGCCGATTTTGGCAAGTACGGCCATGTTTAAAATCTGCAAACCATATTTTGACCGTTGAAAATCATGGGATCAGAATTGTCTAATGTAGAATCCAGCTCAGCCTTAATTTTCGTCGGACCCTTAGTGTGAAAATATTTTATGACAGCTCGTACAAGTTTATCCATCATTCAAATCAAAAAACTTATAGCTCTAGTATAGCACGCTGTCAAATACTAACCGCTGGATACAAATCTTTTGACATATGACACATATGACATTATATAAAAGAATAAATAAAATTGTTAAAATCATTCCATTCTCATAGTAAAAAATCAATGTACAAAAGGAATTAAAAGTAACTATACTTAAATGAATATTGTGTATGGGACGAAAAAGGGGATAACAATAAAATGGGTGAACAAAATCAATCTAAAGAACGACTAAACTGTAGTTTAATTTTATTTAGAATAAAACATTGTTATTGAAGGATATAGCTGGTATACTAAGTAAAGAACCAGCCCTAGCACACTACACTGTAGAACACCTTCTTTCATTTTTTTCATTTCGGAGTATGCCTTCTCTTGTTTAGCTCTTTATATTCTTTCCGGTAAATATGATTCTGTATCAGGCCAGCGTGTTAAACCATCAAGGAATATAGCTGAGCATACACATCTTTCTTCGTATTATTTTTCAGTACTTGATCTATTGTCGAGTATCAGATTTTTATTTTCAATTCATTGGTATTAGTCGGTTTGTCACCATATGACCCTTATTCGGAGGTTTTCCTGACTTAGAAAGTGGAATAGCATCAGCCATTTTCCACGGATCGAATTATGAAATTACATTTAAAATTATTTGCTGAAACTTTTAATCCATCATTAAATAATTAAAGGCACACTAAACATTTCATTTAAAGTTTCTTATTTAAATAAGGCGTTTTCTAATATTCATCGATGCCATCTAGCAATCATCAGAACTGTTCTTTTATTTATCAAAAATGTTTAGATGAGTCATACATCAAATTCTTAAATTCAACCTAATTCTCAGATGGTCACCAAATCCATCGACTCGATTATGTTGATGCACGATGCACTGATGAATCACGTGACATAACCTTAAATTATTAATTAATATCAAGCAGATAAGGAAATAGGAAAAGTTTACTCAGAATTCTCAATAATATGCATAAAGAAACTCACTGCGTTTTATTAAACCAACCTCTAAATGGGGTAACTTTTAAAATAAAATATATATACAGCAAGCAAATGAAGGCAAGTACATATTTTTTCAATTATCATATTACCCATACTTCTTGTCTTTAGTTTTTATGCTCACCAAAAAAGTATATGAATTGTTTGTTTTCATTAAATAAAGACAGTTTGACAGTTAAGATTACAAAATCACAAATTTCAGTCGTTCTTAAATAATTTTCATCAGATAAAATTCAGGATTGCAGTAGTCGGCCAATTATTGATCACGTGATCCATCATCAGTACATCATTTTGTTGAATATTAGAAAACGCCCATATATCCGATGTTTACTAATTTTTTGACACACTACTTTGACATTTTAAAATCTACGAAACAAGCTAGGAATCTTTTTTTAGTAACTTATTGTTTCATTCAGTTCACTTAGAGTTAAGTAAATGGATTTGTGACTTGGGATATTTCCACAACTACTTATAACTTTTTAAAACTTTAAATGCAAACCCTGTATTTTTTAAAGTACCTACACTTTTGTTTTCATATAAAATTGTAAATTTGTCTACCTATATTGTTAGTTTTATGTGAATAAAGGACCACGCACTTTTCTTATGTAAACGGGAGTACCGTCAAAATGACTGAGTTTTTGATATGTTAAATTACTTGATTTCTTCACCAAAAGTGTTCATGGGCCAATCCTATCCTGTAGCTAGATTCCGAAGCTAGAAATCCCTAATTCTTGAAAATGGACACCAAAAATCATCCTTAAATATTATTGAAAGTTATTCGCTTATTCTGTGTAGTTAGAATAGTAGAATCAAAATATTTTCACTTACAGGGCGATTCATGATTCCGGACACAGTATGTATAGCTGAGATATAGTTCTCGGTGTACCTACTCGTTTGTTTGGATTTTATGACTAGTTTTCCAAATATAACTCTATATATGTACCTAATATATAAATTTTAAACAATAAATATATACTGACGTAAGTAGATATGTCCAAGAGAAATACCGTATATTAAATATTTTGACACTCTGTGTTGGATTAGGAATGTACCGCCTTGTACTATTTGGAGGCAGACAAGAAATTTCGTACTTACAGGATAATCATAGTTGAATATGTAACGTGAAACAATCAGCAAGAAATGTTGAAATTGCCAAAGAATAGAAGCTAATTGCCTTGTAAGTTGCGAGTTATTCAATAAAAAAATATAAGTCCACATACAGGGTCATACATTATTCTATTACAAAAAAAATTATTATACGGTATTTTAGCTATTTTTGTTCGGTGGAAATACCTACTTTGGCCGAAAAAGATATGCGGAATCATGCATAAAGTGACAATATTTTGATTACAGTAGTTAAGTATGTATATTGACTACACATAATGACCGAATAATTTCCAAAAATATTTAAGGGTGATTTTTGGTATCCATTTAAAACAATTAGGAATTTTTAACTTCAACAATCTGTTTTTCAAAATCTACTCATAGGATAGGGTTGAGTCCATGGACACTTTTGATGCCGACATCAATTAAATTAACATATCAAATTCAGACATACGATACTCCTGTGCGTGGTCCTTTATGGTTTCAAAATTGAAAGATAAGTAGAATCCTAGAGGAATCCTGTAATAATTCAATAATAATATTGGAATAATCCTAAAAAATCAAGGACGAATCTTGGATAAATACTGGGAATGTCATTAAAATATCCACGAAATATCCTTGAAATATCCAGGAATTGGTCTAGTATAGTCCTGATGAAATCCAGAAAAGAGAATCATGCAAGAAGGGAAAGCTAGACAGATAAAAATAAAAATCTCCATTTCATATAAAATTGACTTTAAAAAAATGTATCTATCTCAACTCTTTAAAAAGCAGATGTATTGAGATTAAGAATTCCATTGATATATTTATCTAAGTACAAATTTGTAGGATTTTAGTTTTACATTCAATTGAAATTATTTCAATTTCCTTTTACTTTCGTTAATCCACTTAATAATTTCTTATAAAAATATTTAAAGAAATTTTACTCTTTTTCATTAATAGTTCATATTCTTTGTATCTATTAAATCATCTAATTTTTGAAAAAAAAAATTTTTTTTTAATTGATATTAATATAAATTATGTAATTTCTTGTATCTTTAACCATACCTTTCTACCAAACTTTATCACACATTTCGAATTACTTAAATGTGATCAAAACCCACTTTAACACACATTCATTTATCCAAACCTAAATTATTTCAACATGTCCTTTACGTTTTTGTATCTAACAACTTTTTCATCATTTTAATGTCTCTAAAAATTACTTGTCTATCCGAAACCACATTCAGAAAGACCATTTCGTTGTTCTAATACTCATTTCTTGATTAACAACCATGTCGTCTGAATGACATGTACCAAAAGAGTTGAATGTTTATTTACAGCATGTCTTCCTGATGATTTCCGATGTGGGAACGGATTCTGTATACCCAAATCGCAAAGGTGCGACGATATCCACCATTGTCAGGACGGTACTGATGAAATAGGATGTAACAAAAGTATGCTTTTTATTGCTTTTTTAATATTACCGTAACTCAGTCGATTAGTAGTTACTAGTTATAGAAAGTAGGTCTAAACCAGCCAAATGTGACAGCTAGAAGTTAGCTCTGAACTAATATCAGAAGAAAATTATAGTAAATATAACGTTGAAGGAAAAATTAAATCTTTGAAACGGTTTAACAGGTTTTCATAAAATCTGATGGGTTAATAAATCTCAGATATTAATCGTCGTTTCAGAACAGAACTAGCCCAACTCCAAAATTTGGATTTTCGATTTTTAACGACTTAGGATAGTTCAAAGTATCCTAATTGGGCTAGTTCTGCTCTGGAGTGACGTAATACAATTTTAATTATTCGTAAACGTTCTCGTGTTCAGATTTTCTATGCGATTTTATAAATAAGGAAGGACGGAAATAATTTTAGTAAATTTCAATAAAAATAAAAAAAATTAGCAGTTCATTCATTAGGAAATTAAACCATTAAAAATTTATTCCACCTAATGTTTGAAAATAAATCATTTGGAATATCGTTAGTTTTGTTATATTTTTATATGAGTAAAATATGCAAAGGACTTTTAAAATATTTACTTGAAACATTATAAATAACTTTTAGTTTTAAAATATTCAAGAAAGTCAGGGTTTGAAATCTGCAATGACATTTTTATAATAAAAATGTATCATCAGAAATAAGTCAGTTTGCATTTATATAAAGGGTTGACCCAGTTTTTATTAGACAGACTGCAACTTTTATAATAATTATCAGAAATGAATAAAATTTAGATGACTGCTACAGTGACATGTTTTCTGATGAGCTTATTTTTGAATATCAAGATCATCCAATTATACCGGAAGTTTTATGTACTTTAAGAATATGTAAAAAAATGGGATTCCCATTTAAAAAACAAATTTTACCTCGATATGGCCATATTATGGTCAGCTATAAAAAAATTAATTTAGCCAAAATGTTCCCCCAAAAAACTATAAAACTTTTGTCTGAAACTTTTTTTTCTAAAATGCATATTTTCGGCGGTATTTAACTGTAACACTTTAATTTGAACACCCGATATATTTTTTATTATACCTATTATTTTCGCGGAGCCCCCACGGAGGCTTTGCGGAGCACCAGGGCTCCGCGGAGCACCCTCTGAGAAACACTGCTCTAATCAATGCTACATATTATCATGTAATATGTTCTATATCTATAGATTAAGGTTTCTGACAATTTGGAGGTTACTTACACTTATTATGATCTTGTCTGAAAATGAAAATAGTGCAATCTTAATATATTTTCTATCCTACACCAATAGAAAACTCAATTTTGACGTCTATAGAGACGTCAAAAAGCATATTTTCTTGGCTAGCCCGGCAAAATAACTAGAAATGGCTAGCCAGTAAAACAATTGCATTAATTTACATCCAAATGGTGCACGACTTATAGCGGATTCGACTCAAATGCTCTTCAGTGTTGCCGTTCGTAGCGACTTGTCGCGAAAATAGCGACATTTTAATAGTTTGAGAGAATAGCGGCGATTTAGTCTAAATTAGCCAAAAATAGCGACTTTTTGGTCCTTAATATGTTAAGTACCAGTGTAATAAAATAACAAAACACTATTAGTTATATAGATGATTTCAATTGACGCCATGATGTGGTTGCAACGGCCTGTTGATGGTTATCTGAGGAATAAATCAGTTGTCTGCTAAAAAACTAATTCTATAATTATTGAATATTCCAACAAATAAATTTTATAATTTTATCGACACACATATTTAAACAAAATGAAGAATGATTCAACCAGTTTATACAGAACTACTGAATCTGTTCACAAATTAGATTCAGACTCAAGCTGAATATTTTTTTTTATTTATTGATGTTATTTAACTTTTTAGTTTCTAAATTCTTTAAAAAATGTTTATTTTTAGTTTTTTACGCAATACAACACATACGTTAGTGTATGTTTAATGCATATTTAGTGCATATTTCATCAATCATCAACAAAAATAGCGACAATGACAGATGTCGGTGCGGCAACACTGATGCTCTTGCTCAATGACAAAGCTCTTTTAGTTCTGAATTGATTTTGGGCAACATATTTATAATTCAAATTTATATCTAGCAGTGCACACAGCAGGCACGAGCTAGAGTTTGACGTTGGTGTAGCGCATCTTTATTAGGACTGCCATACCTCCCGATTTAGGCGGGAGCCTCCCGATTTCTCACACTCCCTCCCGCTTTTTGAACTAAGCTATAAACCTCCCGATTTTTCAGAAATTTACTAATTTACTCCGAATTTACATTGAATAGATATTAAAAAAATATAGGTCATTCGGCCCATATCTACAACCGTCGTAATCTCTACAAGCGCCATCTTTTATATGTCTGGGGCCGATGGATTTAAAAACAAACCCTAAATTGAACGATTTCATATAAATTGCTGATGAGTTTGCTATTGGTGTAGACTTTTAGAAGAAGTTGTCATCATATTTAGAAAACCCACCACTAAATTTTAAAGACAATAAAATTGACCAGCAATGGGTTTATTATTTTAAGAGCCATAGATCTTCTTATGTATTTCTTTTCCTCACGATGAGTGAGAGCATTTTTAGTCTAATGTTTGTAGCATGGAGGAAAGAAAGAAATTCTCTTTCTATATTCTATAATTGAAGTAATTTTGCTTGAAGTCTTTTTTTAGAATTTTTTTTATAAAATTGTCGCGGGGGCCCGATCTGGAGAATTGTTCCGGGGCCTGACCTGGCTCTCAGCGGCCCTGGTTTAGCTACTACGAGAGCTATTATCTCAAAAGTACAAAGACTAGCCTGTGTTTGCATTACTGGTGCAATGAGAACCTGTCCTACGGGCGCAATGGAGGTGATCTTAAACCTCACCCCTCTACATTTGATGATAGAGAATGTGGCAAAAAGGACAAGATATAAAATGATCAGGAACGGAGTAATCAGACGAATATCTACTTGCTTCAGGACTAAAGATACCTGAGACATACCCCAGGATGAAATGCTAAAGAAGTACAGTTTTGAGAAAAACTACAAAACCACAGAGCTGGACTGCAAGAAAGAATGGATCTGGAATAGGAGTATATGGGCCGAGAACCAAGCACTCCGAAAGTTAGGGGAAATACCCAAGCATCTTCCAGAGAAACTATCATAGACAAGAGATTATCATCATGTCCGATAGTCAAGCACCAATCAAAGCGCTGAGATCTTACGTAATCAGCTCAAAAATGGTCTGGAGGTGCCTAATTGAATGAGCTAGGCGAGAAAAATAGTGTTACTCTCACTTGGGTCTCGGGACATAACGCGGTACAGGGTAACGAGATTTTAGATAGTCTTGCAAGGAAAGGGGCTCAAACACCCTTTGTAGGACCTGAGCCGTTCTGCGGTATCAGCAGTAACATAATATTAGGAGAGATTAAAAAAAGAATTGGGCAGTAGAAGAACCGATAATTGGAACAATCTCTTGGGGCTGTCAAACAAAAATTTCACTATGCCTTGGTACCGAGCAATTTGAGTCGAATGCAATAATTGTCTTTTAATTAATTAGGTTCTGCCAGTCGAACAAACACCACTTAAAAAAGTCGAACCAAATGCGCATTGATAGAGCCAGTCGAATCCGCTATTAATTTTAACAGTTCCTTTCACAATTTATTATAAAATTATTTTTGTTGCATATTGTTTATAAAGAATAGAAACTTGTTTATTCTACTACAGGTTATGTGTTTAGTGATATTTATCTATGATTGATGTAGAGTAGACAAATTGTAGTCATATTTCAAAATAAATTATAAAGATAGGTCACATGTCGCAATACACATTACATATACATATTGTGTGTGTTGCCATCAAGTAGGTAATATATTATTTATAGCAGTCTGATGTCATTTTCTAAAACATTTGTCATTTGTTTGGTTAGTACCAATGCAGACTTGCTTATTTAAAATCAAATTTATTTTAAAGAAGCAACAATAATCATTTCATTATAGTGTAGGATAAAGTTTTCTGTTGGTTCAGGATAAAAAATAGTATGTAAACCACGACACTAAAGTGGTTTTCCAGGCCTCGCAAAGTGTCCAGGGCTAGGCTTCGCCTCGCCTGTCTATATTTTTACTCGGCCTGGAAAAGTCACTTTACTGCCTAGGTATACAATATACTATTCTGAACAATTGTTCGTCAAGAAAGTAACGTTTTGCCGATCAAGACCGGAAAGTTGACATTAGCGACCGATAATATAATTAGTATTACGGACATTTGAAGTGCTTTCTTTTTGTCTCAAGAAAAGCCTGAAACTTCGCGCAATGCTTTTTTGTATGTTTTGTCTAGATATATCTAGATGGCTTTGTTTTTGTCAAACTTTCAATATTTACATCGCTGTTGATAACTGGTTATTTTTAGTGGTCAAAATATTATGCCTTTTTACTTTCACACCTGATGAATGTGTTGATGTGTTACTTTTATACGGTGGGTGTGTGTCATAAAAAGAAACGTCATGGAAGAAGAGTGTATCACCAGAGACAACCCAGCGAGACGTGTAACTCAATGTATTTTTGTTTGTTTGGTAAAAGTTGTTTGGGCGATTGTAACCGCAACCAGTCTATGATAGCACTACTAGTAAATAGCGGGAAAATTAAAAATGCTTTGGGGCGGGAAATTCAGAAATAAATAGTTTTCTATACAAATTTACAGGAGAAACAAAAACTATTGTTTCACTGTATATTAAAAAATATAAAAGCTTCCAATAACTTCAAATTTTTTATCATATAAATAATCAATTTAATATAAGCAATGAACATATTTTTTATTACTCTTGTAAATTTCGCTAAAAAAAACTTGAAAATTCTATTGATTATTAAATATTTAAACTTGGAAAAATAATACACCAAACTCTTTTTCTATAAATTATATTTTTGTAAGGTACAGAAAAAACAAACTACAATTGCTTCGTTTAGAAAGTAGGTACCTCGTATTATTTTGTGACAAATTACAAAGAAAGTAACAGTTGTTCATAATATTCATAATATATTTAAAAACTAATGTAGCAAATATTTTAAGTATAGAGTATATCAATACATTTTTGCCAGACTATCATAAGTGCCATTTGAACAAATGTTACTTACGTCAAGCTTGTATTTAAGAGAACAGAAGACAGTTCGAACATTAATTATAATAATTATGTATTGTCTTTTTATAAAAATCAATAAACTGTACTATTTTCACCTTTTATTTTCGAAAAAGAATCATGAGTTATTGTAACCTCAAATTTATCAAAAACGGTTAGAGATAGGTATAGGACATATTACATAAAAACTGTGTATTATTAATCAAAAAATTCAAAAATGCCGAAATATATAGGGTGTCTTATTTAAAATAACAAAATTCATGGTCACTTTCAGTATAGGTACCCGGAAGTTTTTGATAGACGAAAATATACGCATTAAGTATCTTACTTGTCAATATAGCTTCCATCTAAATTTCATTTCATTCTAATAATTCTTATAATAGAAACAGCCTGTCGAATAAAAGCTGGAACGTCCTGTATAATACTGTTTAAAATTATCGTACCGCTCAATAGTTTGGGTAATTTTCCGATGTCACAAAAAAATATAAAACATATGCAATAATAAAAAAATAACGGTTCACAAGAGGCTCCGTGAGATGTAGACACCAAACAATAATAATACATTGAAAAAGTTCTCGAACACTACCCAAAACACAATAAACAACACTGTCTAAGAAATCCTACCTACCTACCTACCTACCTACCTAAGGCTGGACCAACCTCGTGGTGGTGTCACCGGTTGTAACACCTCAGAAAGATGGCAAGTAAATCTTTTAATAAGGGAAGAAAAACAATAAGGGAAAACAAACAAATCTTACTCAGAGAATATAAAAAAGTGGTTAGACAAAAACAGAGTTGCATGGAGAACCTACAGCGAAGAAAGCTCTCTCAAAAAATCCACACCGCGGTATCGGTGCACTAATCACAGAAGATGGTATGAAAACTGAAAACCTCGAAGATAACATCAAACTTCTGCTGTCATCACGCTTACCTAAGTCGTCACAGGAGCATAAAACTGAGCAGAGGAAGAACGGAACCATCTGTCTACTTTGTTTTTGAACTTTTGTAATCCAGTAAAAAATAATTTTAAAATATTGACACAAAGTCTTATATTTACTTGAAAATCTAACGAACTTTTACTTTTGGATAAGCCTCATTCATTCATTGTTTCTGAAGTACTGAAAAGGCTTTATAACTATGTTCATGAGGAATTTGTTCTGTACTATTACAATATTGCTCTTATTTGTCCATCCCACAGTTAGCAATCAAAAAACTGATCAAACCGTTTCAAAGATTTCATAGTAATTCCACATTTTACGCTAAAAATATTTAAAAAAAAAACCTGCATAAACATAATCAATTTCGAAAAACCAATTAATTTTTATTCATGCCATATATTAATTGGATATTTTAAATTATTTATTCATAAATTCATAATAGGGTATAAAATTTTTAGTACGAATTAAACTAGAGCAGGTATGGCGCTTAGATCAAACAGTTATATTATTATTATTATTGAATGTATACATACACGTTTAACGGTGTGTGTGTGTGGTTGTTTGGCTTAATAAATTTGGGGTGAAGGTAATAATAGTTAACAGTCTTATAATCTGGTTATGGCATAAATTCGTTTGTTCGAAAAATATTTACTACTTAGCTATAACAAACAAACATTTTAATTTTTAGTCATAATGTATTATATTATAATCTCGAACAAATATTGTTCTTATTTTATGGCGGATTTGCGTTTTTCTATTTAGCGAACCAATTTCGTCTAGGCTACACCTAGTACCAAAACTTTTTAATAATAACTGTTATTTTTTAAAATTTTTTAGCTATAAGAGAAATTCTTTCTTAAGTTTCCTAATCTAGTCATGTATGCGTTTTGGTGTAAACAAATAATACAAAAAATATTTCAATAATTCCAAAACCTTTAATCCTTACTAGTTTTATACTTTTACTTATGTGTAGGTGAAGTTGGAGCTCTCACAGCTTTAAAAGCTATCTGGCTATCTAAAAAGACAAACGCATGATAGTCACATGTTTATTAAGTATCTAATGTCCAAATTTGCTGTGGTACCTATCTAGGGCTTTATACAGTACTATTTTGTTTTCTACAGATTATGAGAAGTTAATACCTTATGATATTGATAATAATCAATCTGGTATAAACGCAGCTCAAAGGCAGAAGAAACTGAAATAGATCTAACAAAAGGTACAAATGTATTCAAAATTCAAATCAGTAGTAACTCTTTTAACAGAAACGAAAGATATATCCCGAAAAAGAGAGTACAATGAGGTTATAATAATACTGTGTCCTAATTCTGTAGTTCCGTAACTTCTATGAGTATTATTGCGAGGAGTGATCCCATCTATCTATCTTAATTAGAGTGTGGTTCAAAGCCTAGGGTTCTGAAGCTCTAGGCTAATTGTACCTCATCAGGTTTAATATATTTAACTGCCGAAGTAGTTTTGTAACTTCTGAAGTATTGTGTAATCTCTAAAGTAGTTTTGTAACTTCTACAGTAATTTTGTAGTTGTGTAACTTCTAAAATAAATCTGTAACTTCCAGAATAGTTTTGGAACTTCTGAAGTTTGTTCTAACTTATGAAGTCGTTTTGTAACTTCTCAAGTAATTTTCTAACTTACGAAGTAATTATGTTACATATGAAGTATTTACATAACTTCTAAAGTAGTTTTGTTACTGTTTAAGTAGTTTTGTAACATTCAAAGTAGTATTCTTAAATATTATGAAACTTTTGAAGTAATTTTGTAACTTATGAAGTGGGTCTTTAAGTTATAAGGTAGTTATGTAGATTTAAAAGGAGTTTGATATTATTTATCTAGAACTCTATTATTTAGAGTATATCGTCTAACTTGGTATTTTTTATCAGCAAGCAGTTACATGTTCTTGGCTTTTTCACCTAGTGTTAGAAACCACAATCTAGCCAGGCCTTCACATTTGCACAGGACGTGGATTTCCTCTTCTCATGTGTCTTCTTAGGCGACAGTGTATGGCAAGAAGACCTACTATTATCCTAACAATTTGTTATTTTATGACCTAGTAGCTCTTTCGTAGCTCGACGGTCTTTTAATAGACTTTTTGGCCTGACTTAATTCCGGATAGTTATTTAACCATTTCTGAGACTTTTTTGTATCCAATATATGTTTGACACTTTTCACAATACCTTAGCAACTCCAAAAAATGGTTCAAGGCCTATCACGGCCTTACCTAAGCCTTCTGGGGATAGTTCGTCGGCCTTTTTATAGCCCTAATATCCTTCGTGGCCTGATACATAGGCTAAGGTCACTTTTTTTGACTCTACCAAGTCTTCTAGGCAGTTTTTTACCAGTCGAAATTTGATATCTGGTCAGAGAAATTCCTTTATAGCTGCTTGATTATCAAAGTATAGGTGACAATAGTTTTGTCTGATACATTTATTTATTGTTCTTGCATAGTGTTTTATGTCTATTAGTTCGGCCTGGAACACTGTTACATATTCTCCTAGACAGCGAAATTGTTGTTATCAGCACCTGTTCCTTCCTTAGCTTTTAAACCGTCTGTATACCAGACGAGTTCAGCCTGTATGGGAGATCTTTTTTTTCAGGATTCTTGGACTAGTATTTGAATTTGAAACTTCCTTTCAAATTTATATGTGGTTATGGCTACATGAATAGGCATTTCTAGAATCTTATCCTTTTTTTACTTGCTGGTGTAGCCTTGTATGATCAACGCTATATAGTTGGCTTATTGGGTTTTGTCTCTGCATCAGCCTGTGAAAAACGGATCCGGTTTCTTCTTGTATGAAGGTATATAGTGGCGTGACGTTGCCTGCACAGTTTTGGTTATCCACGCCACTGCGTCATACGTTTTCCCGCATATTCTTATGAAGTAGTTATGTAACTTATGAAGTGATTCTGTCACTTCTGAAGTAATTGTTTAACTTATGAAATAGTTATAAAACTTCTAAAGTAGTTCGGTAACTTCTCAAGTAGTTGCGTAACTTTTAAAGTAGTTTTGTTACTGTTATGAAGTAGTTTTACAACTTTTTAATGAACATTATTGTGGAGGTACACACACGAGTTAATAACGCTGAAATTAAATTTCTACGAATATTAAAGTGTACATAGTTCGAAAATATATCAATATATTTCCCGTTTAACTTATATTAACGTGTTCGGCATTAATACTAATCTCTATAAAAAATAGAAACAGAACAATACATTTTATAATTACAAAATTAATCGTCAAAAGAAACAAAGAGATTAGAAGTCAAAAGTGTAGTTATGGTTTTAATAAAAGTTAAAAAAAATACGAAACAAAATTATTGTAATTTTTCCACGTCTCACAGAAGTAGAAAGTACAGAAATGAAGTAGCCATAAAAAACTACTCTCGTATACGACTTAAAAGTCAGCAAATCTAACCTTACTTAATTGATGGATGGATGGTTGAATGGTTAACTTTTATTATCTCATAAAGTAGTTATGTAACTTATGAAGTAGTTGTAAAACTTGTCAAGTATTTTTAAACTTTAAAATAGTTTTATACTTTCTGAAGTTATTCTGTAACTTATGAAGTGATTCTATAACTTATAAATTAGTTATGTAACTTACGAAGTATTTACGTACGTTCTGAAGTAGGTAGTTCTGTAACTTTTCAAGTAGTTGTGTGACTTTTTAAGTAGTTTTGTAACTTATAAAGTAGTTTTGTAACCATGCTTGATTAATAGATGGATGTTTAACGTGTAATCTATTTTGATGTATTTGATGCATACTTTAAAATGCGCCTTTTTCTTATTTTTTAAATCACCAAAACGCATACATACAGTAATTCGTTAGAGAAAGATTGAATCTCTTGTACTTTAGCAAATTTTCCAACAGAAACATGTGCAAAGCACGAATGGAGGTGTACGGATGGTACTTGCATAGATCAGATATACCGGTGTAACATAAAACCTGACTGTCCAGATAGATCAGACGAGATAGGATGCAATCAATGTGCGCATGATCAATTTAGGTGTAGTGACGGATCTTGTTTGACCTTGAACAAGGTCTGTGATCACGTATCTGACTGTCCACACTCTGAGGACGAAGAAAGTTGTGGTTAGTTTTCCCTTTTAGAATATTTTTTTTCTTCTATCTATATCCCTTAAGAGTGATCGTTAAAAATTAAATTTCCGACGCCCTAAAAACCTACCTTTTGATGAAAAAATACAGGAGAATTTTTTTTTTAACAAGCCGGTTGAAGTTTATTTTTTTATAAAATCATAGTTTTTTCAAAATATCTCTTAAAGTAGTATAAAATAAAATAAACTTCAATCGGTCTGCCTAAAAAAAATCCCCGTATTTTTTTTATTACAAGGAAGGTTTTTTAGGTGTCTGAAAAATTTTTATTTTCAACGACCATTTATATTAGTTTAATGTTTTTTATAGCAAAATTTCGTTTCGTTTGTTCTTCTATTTGTGTCAACGTGAATGTGTTTGTTTCTGTTCGATTTGTTCAGTATTTTTGGAAGCAATGTTTTTATATTTTGTTGATTACTTTTTCTGAATTATAAAACACGTTAGTTAACAAAGTTATATATATTCTACATGAGTTTTCTACTTTTGCATGAGTAACCCCAACGAGAATAAAACCGGCGCATTTGTCAACATTTTGGTGTCAAATGGGGATATTTCCTTAAAAAATTTAAAACCTTAAAACTAAGATCTTTTAACAATGATAAACAGGTTTCCAAAAATATTAAACATAAATCACATTTGTGTATCATACATAAACATTTCAAAAAACAACCAATTAAACTCACATTCAAATCATAAATTTCAATAGTTACATTTATTTTTATACCAATATAATTATTTATTTTTGAAACGTTAAATTTAAAATAATATGAAACGATAACCGATATTTCAGCTAATTGTTAATTAGGCTCAGACACTAATAACAATGATTAGTTCTTACTTTATAATTAATGGACTAGTTGTTTTCATGGTATTTATTGAAAATTTACGTGAATTCATTAAATCGAAATTACATTTGAAAAAAAGGGTGATTGATAAAAGGGTATTATTATATTATCATTCAGTATAATGCAAATAAATTTATTATATCAAAAAAGACGACTTATAAAAAAATATTAAAACACATCAATTTTTTTTTTTTTAATATACTTGTGAGAGACGTTACATCGCCATTATATTTGCATCTAGTCATGAGACACCTCATTTGAAGGATCTCTTAATCATCTATCCACCGCTATAATTATTCAAATATTTATTTCTACAGGGTCAGTCAAAATTATGTATTTATTTAAGTATTTTCTACTATTTTTAATGATTAAGAAAAGAAATAGTTACAATGGCTGATAAAAGTGCTATATTATAATTTTAAATTAGTTAATGTAGTGTTTGATGTTATTTTCATAAACATATTTAATATTTAAATAAAGATTACAAAGTTTAATTATCATAATTATTATTAAAAAAAAAAAAAACAACCGTTGGAAATAGAATAGATTTGATAGATATCAACTGGCGCATTTAGATCCCTATGTCAAAATTAGTTTTTGTGATTACTATGCAGTCAAATTTAGTTAGATTTTAAAACATACAAGATTTATGTTTTAAAAATTCTATTATACAGGGTGTTTTATGATTGAAGGAAAACATTTCAATCGTAAATAGAGATCATCGAGGTGGTTCTAAATATGTTATATCTAATGGGTCTTAAAATCTCAGACACAAGGTTGTTTTGTTTGTTTTCTTTTGACGATAATAAATATCGAACTATCCTGTATGTATATCGCTTTAATATTTTGTTACAAATATTTTCCTTGAAGTAGCGAAACTACTAGGAGCGTTTAGGAGATAAGAGAATTTTTTGAGTGTAGATTGGATAGCGTTTAGAAACGTTGGGTGGAATTTAAGCAAAAGAAACGTAGGATTAAATTAAAGAAAAATAATAATATACAAATGTGACGTACAAATTTTTGTAGGTGGAATATAAAGTGTTTAGTAAAAAATTGTGAAAGTTTAAAAGTGATACATTAGATGGACCTGCTAGGAGGAAAGAAGGTTGGTTTAATGGAAGAACAAGAGAGACTTGAGGAGACCGTAGAACAAGAAGTATTACAAAGGAATATGGAACAGTAATGTTTAGAAAATACAGTTACCAAAGAAACACAGAAACAGAAGAAAACACTAATGGAAGAGAAAGATAGAACTGCAGATGGGACGAAGAGAGCGAAATGATGTTGCTAGAAATAAATGTGAATATAAGACAAATGAAAGGTGAAATGAGGAAAATAAGAAACAAGATAAAGATGAAATAATAAAGCAGATAGAGGAAATTATAGAAATATATAGTGAAGAAACAAAGAAAATGAAAGCAGGAAGTTGCAAATTAGAAACATGTAAAGTAAAAGAAAATTTAAAATTAAATAAAAAAGAAAAAAACATAGAAGCAAAGGAAGTTGAAACGAACATTGAAATTGAAGAATTAAAAATAAAAGTGAAAAAGGTAAAATTAAAAATTGAAGAAGAAGAAAGTAATAAAAAAATACAGATTCAGATTGTAGGAAAAGAAGTAAATAAAATAAATAAAAGAAAAAGAAACATTGAAAAATTAAAGAAAACAGAAAACAAATTCAAGATAAGAATAGGAAAGAAGATAAAGGAGAACAGAAAACAAATAGGATCAGAAAGAAGTAAGATAAATATATTATAATAAATAAAGTAAAACTAAAACAAACACAGGAGAATGTAATAATAAATAAAAGTGACATTGAAATAAAATTACAACATATGCAGAGTGATGAAAGGAAAATTATTAGAGTAATACGTAAGAAAAATAATAGTAGAGTAAAATCCAAACAGTTGCCAAATGAGTATCCAAGGGAAGTTAGATTAGATAGTGGAAAATGAGGAAAAATAGTTAAAAATCGGAGGTTGACAGAAAAGGAATACTCCAAATAATATAACGGCTATATCATAATACGTGTACACAGGGCGTTTGAAAATCTATTTAAGATTGTCTTTAAATACACTATAGAGAGGTCTATGAGTATATGTGTATGCAAGCAATATGTCTTGAATAAGTTCAGAATGAGTTTCTATTAAATAATTTTCGTTATTTAAAATTATAAATCTATAATATTCTATTTTTAACACTCCAAATTGGCAAAAACTTAAATTTCAAGTTCAAAATTTAAGTAGTAAATTTGTAAGCAGAACATCAAAAATATTCTGTGTCAATCAGTCTTTTGTGCTTTTTTCAACCTTGTAAAAGGATTTACAAAAAATGATGTACAGAGTGTTGTTTGGAGGTAACAAAAACTTAATTTTTTTTTAATCCCGACCTCGATATTTCTTCGTAACATACTAGTTATTCGGTTGACCCCACTCTAAGACAAACATGTGTACCAAATAACAAAAAATATACAGTAAAATATAAGTAAAATTGGTAAAATACTCTGTATCTCAGTTATAAAAATTTTAAGGCCCATTAAATATTAATACGAGTCATGTCCGTGATAATTACGTACATTAAATAAATCTAAATTGACAGTTGAAAAAATTTTAAGCTGTTACAGAACTTTGCCAAGGTCTAATTAAGAAACATTTTTGTGGATCAATCCTTAGTACTTAGGTATATATAAAAAAAACACCTCTATAAACACTCTATACCTGTAGTAGTTACTGCAAGACTACGAAATGTGTATCGTTCGTTTTCGTTTCATATTATTTTTGACGCGAATTTACCTAATTACACACCATAATATTCACACAAAATTACGTTTCAAAACATTTAACTGCTTAGTTATTAGAACATAGCGGAGTAGTGTAACTATAGAATACAATTTCCTAAAACTTCAGTTATCTTAATCCGTGTAAATTCGTCCTCACAAGTTGTTGCTTTTTCATGCACCCTTCAGCTTCGTGTAAACCAGGCGAGTACACGTGCGCCAATGGACAATGCATCGATGAAAAGTTGCGTTGCAACACCGTCGCCGATTGTTCCGACCAATCGGATGAGAAAAATTGCGTCAACGGTAAGAAAAGTAGAAATCCTCTTCTTTTTCTTGTAGCTACTGTTTCAACGCTGTCTCGTTCTACTGTACGACTTCTTGTCACCTTATTCCCCTCATTACTTACAGTTGTAAGTAATTCTGATATCTTCTTCAATTGTTATGCAGGTTGTCTGGAAACTTCGTTAGCTTATTTCGGGAAGTCTTTCTATACAGGATTTCCCTCAATGGACTTTTCACCTTTATGGATTTTCAATACCGATAGAATTTCTTGATATCACATTATAAAATAATTAAATCGTAATTTTTTTAAACAAATAATCGTAAGTCAAAATAAATAAAAGGCTTTTGCATTTCTTAAGACTCTGTATTCATATAGGTATATCCACTTTTTATAGAATCGCCTCCTGAACTATAGAAAATGAATTTCCAGACTTTCTCTATACAGTACGGTCAAAAATTATTTCTTGTTAATTTCTAAACCAATATACGATATTGAGGAATAAAAATGATATTTAGAACAAGAACAATAATTGTTAAATATAATAGTTATTTATGTATCAAGGGCATAAATCAGGCGTTTATGTAAGGTCCATAAACGCTGAAATACATACAACATTTTATGCACGCAACTTTTAATGATTTATTTATTAACAAATATACATTAGTACGTAATTGTTCAATATTTCAATATATAGACGCGTAAAAAAGTTTGAAATAAAAGTTATATGTATAGATTTGAAAGACATATTTTAAAAATATTTTTGGATACACAGGGTGTTGCGTTTTTGCCTTGCAAATAAAAATTTTTGTTTTTTAAAAAGAACACCCTGTTTTTTATTTTATTTTTAGAATGGTTTAGTAATATACTGTATTCAACTCTAAAATGTTTTAAAAAAATATTACATTGTTGCTAAGCAATTAATTTTTTTTTTGAAATTGGAGAATAAAGCAGATCCCAAATTAAATTATCATAATTTAGGTAGGTTTACATTGATTTCAAAAATGTTTATAAGCTCCTAAGCTAACAAGTAGTGGTTATAGAACTGGTTTATTTTATGCACAGTGTTGTGAAACGTGTCTTAAATATGACTATGATACTTGAGTTCAATTTACTCAATTTTTTCAAATGCAACACCCTATATATTATTTTAGCATAAAATTCCTTATAAATTTACCTATTCAACGATACCAATATGTTAGTAAATAACACATCAATGCGTATTTGGTCGATAGCTGTTTTATAATTGAAAATATGAAAAATATATATATATAAAAGTTGTATAACCATGTTTAATAAATATTCCTAAATTAACATGGTGGTTCATAAACGAGGGGCTTACCAAACTTATACATTTTTAAAGCAAAATACCCTGTAGGTATTTATACATATTTGATTATTTGATTGTTTTTACATCGTCAAACAATTTTAATAGACTTCATTTATTTGCTATCTTGGATATAGGGTATGTCAAAATGCGGAATAACGATTTTCTCAATTTTTAAATGGAATACCCTATATATTACACCACCAATTAATTATTCCACAATATTTCATTTGGAAAATTGAGAAAATCGTAATCTCACGTTTTGACGCACGTTATATACAACAGTAAATGGGTGACGTCAATTAAAATTGTTTAACTATGTGAAAACAATTAAATATGTATAACTACCTGCAGGATGTTTTGCTTTAAAAAGTGTAGATTTGGTCAGTACCTCGTTTATGAACCACCCTGTATATTTAAGAATAGTTGTTAAATTTGGTCATATAACTTTTATATTAACAATTTCCTCGTATTTCTAATAATAATTAAACAGCTATCGATCAATTACGCACTGATGGGACACCCTGTATATGTATTATTGGCTATCATATTGGTATCGCTGTATAGGCAAATTTATAAGGAATTTTATGCTAAAATAATATACAGGGTGCTGGATTTGAAAATTAAGTAAAATGAACTTAAAATTAGCCATATTTAAGACATGTTTCAAAACACTCTGTATAAAATAAATCAGTTTTATTACCACTATTCGTTAGATCAGTATTTTGTAAGTCTATGTATTAAACAATTTTGAAATCAGTGTAAACCTACCTAAATTATGATAATTTAATTTCGGGTCAGTATTATTCTTTTATTTAAAAAAAAAATAATTGCTTGGCAACACTAATATTATTTGAAAACTTTCTAGGGGTGAATACAGAATAACCAAATCGTTTAAAAAAAATAAAATACGGGGTGTTCTATTTAAAAAATATACATTTTTATTTGCCAGGCAATAACGCAACACCCTGCATATCCAAAAATATTGTATTTTTCAAATGCATATAACTTTTATTTGAAACTTTTTTGCATATCTATAACACAAGTTGAAATATTGAGCAACTACGCACTAATGGGACACCCTGTATAACATTTTATGTACGACCGTTTTAATGATCCTTTATTGATAAATAACTGTTATTTTCTCTTTTTCACCTTTTGTAAGCAGGTAATTAGAAAAGTAAAATAGTTAGCGGGCGGTAAAGTAGTCTTCGTGCGATAAAGGGACACTTTACGCCCGCTAAACTTATTTATAATCTGGACTTTATCGCCCGGTCGTACATAAAATCATTTAGTTAAACATATAAGTTAAAAATATTGTCATCTCTTTTACCAATATTTTAAAATTTCAATTTTATACTCAAGTAAGTTATCCTATCTCAACATAATATTTACGTGGCTTTTATGACCAGACATCTTGAAGACAACGTTGTTCTTTATAAAACTTGAGTTTATTAGCTTCGTCCATCTATATTGGCCAAAATGCTCGTAATAATGACTGAATGCCAGAGATATTATTAGATAACTGTAACTTTATGTAGATTAGGTATTATAATTCCTTTCAAAATCTATATTTTCCTTATTCATTTTATTTTTAATTTTAGTAGTCAACATGTCAATGCCATCTCAGGATATTTGCTTTTTGTTATTTTGATATCTCTCCATCCTGAGCCATTTCTTCTTAACTTTTGGTCTTGTAATTGTATATCTAGAAATATGGCTGTCTTTTATTATTTAACATTTTTGCAGTTTCTCGTGTAACAATTTATCTTGAAGTTTTGTTAAAATTAGGAAAGTATATTGGCAATCAAAGTTAACGAAATCTGGAGAGTACGATGAATGTTCGACCAATTCAAAAGCAGATTGATAAATTGTAACTATTTTATTTTCAAAATGAAAAAAAGTGATCAATAATTAAAGAGCTCTAAATGTCAATTATATGTCTAAATTGGTATAGAAATTAACGAGCTTTGATTTTGGACTGTTTTAAAACAATCTTTACTGCAATTTTCGAATTTATTTTTATTTTTTATCTTCGATAACTACTTTTCTTAGATACTATTCTTAATAATAACATAATATTAAACAATAACTACTATTATAGAAAGTGTTTTAAAGTATTTGAATATTCAAAAATTTGTACAGCTTGCTTAACATATCCAGTTCCGAAATTATTATTAAGCATAAAACTCTTTTAATTTTGTTCAATGATAGTTTGTAAATAAGACTTAAAACTGTAGGTATTTGGATATGTAGCTATATTTATCTCCTATATATATATATATATATATATATATATATATATATATATATATATATATATATATATATATATATATATATATATTTGCCTATAATTTTAAAACACATTGTATAATCTCAAAGACAAAATATGGTGGGTAGATTTTTATAACTTTTGCAATATATTTCATATTTTTATTATAAAACTGAACAATAATATCTAAAGAACCCCGCACTTTTTATATTGTCTTGGGTTACTGTTATTTTAATTTAACTATATTATTTTATAGGTCATTATGGAAACTTTCTTATGTACCCAAAGTTTACAGCTCAGCATGGTAAACTTTTAGAAAGAGTAAAAAGTATAGAGTGCAGAATTAATGTATTTATGTATTCATGTTAAGTAATTCATGTTTTTCCATAAAACTTATACATAGTTTATGCTTACTTGCACTTTGCAAAATAGATTACAGAGTTTTCCAAAAAATTGGGAAAGTCAGTTACTAAAATAAGGTTCGTGTAATACTAGAGTTACGACATTACTTCTGATCACTTCTCGTTGTATTAATTGATAATTTGTATAAGTAATACAGGGTGTGATAGAGCTACGTAAATAATTATTATCTAAATTGAAAAAATGAATTTAATAAATAACTTGAACCTAAAATATTGTAGAAAGTCTTGAAACGAAAACAATTGCGCACGTATTATAATCATAATTCTCTTAAACTAACCTAACTAAATCCCGTTTTAGGCCCACGTGAACGCTGAAATAGAAGGAATTGGTCCCTTTTCTCCACCCCTGACATACAATAAAAAATTAAATTAAGATTAACATTACAAGCAATGTGTACAGTACGACAAGATTGAGATGGCAAATCAGAATCAGATGCGCACTGTCAAATCTAATAATTTGACAAGTGAACACAAATAGATCACTGAAAAAATAGCATCAAAGTTTAGCTATTATGTGTGCTAAGTTTACCACAATGACGCCGGAAGAACGGTATAGAATAAGCGATGCCGTAAAAAAGTGCGCGCCAACCCACTAGTGGTTGAGGTGTATCCATCTGTCTAATCACGGCATCCAGCCGATTCACGAAAGTCCCTATTTATTTTTTCTTACATGCAAATATTATTAAGCGTCTTTTTTTATTTCGAAGGATCTATGGCTTAAGATATTGTATAATAAATATAATACATTACATAATATACAACAAAAAAACATAGTTTACTTATTAGTAGTAAAGATATATCTGCAAATATTAATTCTGTACTCCTTTTACTGTAAAGTTACAAACTTAGTTGCCTTTAATGATCTGAAAAATAACGCTTAAATTTAAACAAATTTTGATAGTACCCAAAATCAATGTAAAAAGTGCTGGGTCCTTATTATTTTACTATTTAAACTTCCAAAGAAAGTAAAAAAAATTGACCCACCCCCTCCCCCCCAAA